AGAACAAGATAGCTTCTTGTTTCAAAAGCCCAAAGGAAAAGGATGAGTTCTTTAGGAAAGCAGGGGGGCACAGGGTTAGATCAGAGCAAAAGATAAAGATAACTCCAGAACTCAAGTAGAAAACTTCAAGGAGTTGCAGGTTTTAGTGCCAGGGTCAAAAGAAAACTAAGCAAATAAACAGCAGAATAGAGTCTTGAGGTATTTCAAATACCTAGAAGCAATAGATACCAGTAAAGCATCTGATTTTGGCCTCCCACTTACTACTCTACCTCAACAGCTATAACCAGCATATAGTGTTAATTGTCTGTCAATACAAATTTAAATAGATTGTTGCTCTGAAACGCTTGAATCTGGTCCATCTCCCTACAAGAAAACCTGTCGAGGTGTTCAAGTTCTCTACAGGAAAACACAACATTAACAGCAGGCTCTGAGAGACTTAATGCATAGTTGAAAAAAATAGGAATTTCAGTAGCTTTACATTTGGTTTTCTTTTTCAACTTTTGGCATAAAGTGTTCTTCTATAAGAGTTTCAGATTATTAGAAGTACAAGAATCCTCAGTCTTGAAAAAAGTTAGAAATAGAAATCCTATTAAACTCAGTCCTGTCCAGGGGAAAAAATTAAAAAAACTCCATTAGCTTCCCAAGATGAAGACTCCTTTACCTGCAGGCTGGTGCAGTTGACAAACAGGACACTGAGTGTCAGCCTCTCATAATCCACAGCGTGGTCACAGGACACAATCTCCTCCCCACTCACATCTAGGAGGGACATGGAAGATCAGCCCTGCAGCAGGCAGGTGCAGCAGGCAGGGCCAGGGCAGCAGCAGTACATACCAACAACAAACACATGCCAGGAGTAGTTGCTAAGCTCTCTGGAAAACTCAGCTTCCAGCCCATCCCTATGACAGGTGACATTCTCTGCAGAGGGAAGAGCACCATAAGCTCCAGCAAACCCTTCTGGAAGGGCAAACCCTGCAAGCCCCCCAGCCAGCCACCCTTCAGAGCCCCTTCCATACCAAGGCAGAGGGGAAGCAGCTCCAAGCAAACCCAAAACCCACATCCCCACCACAGCCAGCCCAGAGAGAGCACATTACCCAAGAGATCCTGGTCCCACAGGCCATCAGCACAAGGGGCTGAATACAGCAAAAATCCAAACAGGACCAGCAACCTGCAAGGGAAAGAGAACCAAATGAGAGAGCAGCAAGGAAAGGACCCACCCCCCCTTGTATCCCAAACCACACTCACCACATCCTTGAGGTGCTCCAGCACTGCTGCTCAAACCCCATCTCTTCAGGGCACCACAAGCTTAGTCTTTGCCTGCCCAGGGAGGGTTTTATAAGGCCTGGGTCTGGCTCACACAGGTGCCACATCTCTGCTGCCCAGGGAACAGAGCACTTGCACCTGCTGCTCCTTGAGTGGGGCAGCTCACAGGTGACCTTAAGGTAATACTAAATCTTTAACAGGGGTTGCTGTTGCCACCTTCTATTTTGAAAGCATCCTCTGATAATGTACTCCCTTTATTCCCATGCTAGATATTTAATAGAAAAATGCATGTCTGTTTTGGCAGTTATTTTTTTAAATGGAGTTTTCTGTGCCAACATGACAGCATTTGAGACACCAATGAGCTCAACATGACTTTTCTTGGGACTATTTGAAACACTGGTGAAGATACCATGGGGGAAAAGATCCCCAAAACCAAGGAAAATGTTTTAACGAAGGAAAGAGCCTGAATGCTAGGTCAGAACTTCTACTTTTGAGCACTCGCAGCAAAAACTGCAAAAGTCCCTGTGATACAACAGATAATGTCACTGCTCCCAGCCCTATTGTGTGCAGGCTCTGCAAGGGATGCCCTTGGAGCCACAGTAGAACAACAATCACATCAGGTGAGTGTCAGGCAGCACCAGCATGGGTCACACTGAGCCTGGCGTGGGTCACACTGAGCCTGGCGTGGGTCAGGCTCAGCCTGGCCGTGGGAATTGGTTGCTCAAGAGGACATCTAGCAGCAGTGTGTCCTGGGGCACAGAAGTTTTGCCTCCCTAAGAAGTGAAAAAATAAGGTCTTATTGTTGTTTTAAATGTTGTCATCGTCTCTGAATTGTGTAGCCACAATTACCCAGTGTGACTAATTTCATTCTTCTCCGAGCCCATTAGTTCCAAAGATCTCATTAGGCAAGCAGAGACTTACTTGCCTCCCCTTGCATGGCCTTTACCATAGCACATTTGGTGCTTATAAAAAGTTGCAATGAAGAAATGTGCTGGATAATACCTCATGCAAAACAGATGGCACGACAACATCACTGTGCAGATTCATGCTCCAAGTTATCTACAACAACCTAACTGGTGATGCTGCAGCATTTCAATCTAAATAGCTTGTTTAACTGGCAGTATTTTATTTGAGACAGTTCTCAAATTAATAGAGTAATACCCATATAAACAGTGAAATCCAGTAACAAATCAAAGCTGCTGGTTAAATAATTCATTAGTTTACAACACCATGTAACATCACAACAGAGCTTCTCTTGAGCCTGGTAAGACATTTCAATTGCAAGTGTAATGGTTCTGAAGTTCTTTTCAAACACAAAAAGAAAAGCTTCATTCTAACTATCCAGGGAGTTTTAAAAGTTCACAATTTTGAGCTTTAGTCTCAAAAGAATAATCTCCATTCAGGCTGAGAAATTTAGCTCATTTGATGTTGAATCATTTATTGCATTTCAAGTTGAGGGTTTTGAATGGGACAAAGATGAACAAGTACCAGGAGTTTAAAAACAGATGAAGATTTTCTTTGGTCTTTTCTTTGTTCTTTCTTTTTGTAATGCCCACTTTTATGACAGAAAGAATAATAAAGCTTGCAAAGCCCTGAAGCTTCTCCCCAGCTGACGTGGGTTTTTCTTTACCTCTAATTAAAACTTGGAGCAACAGTTTCCCACTTAGCATTATACAGGGTAAGTTTAAAATCCATATTTTCAGATGTTAATGATAGAAATAACTCTGAGATCAACACTTTTTGTGCTGGATTAATTCAGAGAAAAGCAAATTAAGGTACTTTTGTAGTAAAAACCAAGGATCTTGAAAATAAAAGGACACTTCTGCCACCAAATCACTTCCATGAGTGTGTTTCCTCTCTCCTACCAGGCACTGGTGGTATATGCAGCATGTGGATGGTGATCATTTTACCCCTGAAAATAGGCCTAGTAAAAGAAATAAAATTCAATGGCATTAAGAAACAGCTAATCTTATATATATATATATATATATATACATGCATACATACTATCTTTATTCTGCAACAATTTCTAGTTGCTGTAAATTTAACTCCATGCTGAGGCTGGTTAAATAGAAAACAGAATAAATGTCTGCATTTTTATTAGAAAAGTATTAATGCAGTGCAAGGAACCTGAGAAAGAGCTGAGAGTAAAACCATCTTCTAAAGTGGGGATGGAGGTTGGCCTGGGTGAGGCACAGCCCAGCCTGACTGCCCTGAGGTGGCAGAAAGCACCAGGGACAGCTGTGCCTGGGGGTGACATGAGGGACAGCCAGGGCTTTGCTTTGCTCTGACCTGGAGTTGTTTATTCAAAGATTCAAACCTGTCACAGGATCTGACTGACTCTCCTTGTCCTCCTGGGAAGAAAAAGGTTGGTACAAGCTCATTCCTGAAGAGCTCTTCAATCCCTGCCTCAGAAAATAATGAAGAGAGAAAGCCCATTTTTAGAGGTCTCTGGTGTGTCACGGGCAGAATTATGGATGTAAATGAGGTGGCAGAATTCCATTTGGGGATTGCACCAACGCTGAGCAAGGAGTTGGTTTGTGATTCTCTAATGGGGGCACAACAAGCAACAAAACCCCATTGCTAATTGCTGAGGGTAGAATCTCTGAGATCCAGGTTAATTCAGTGAGCCACAGAAAACAGCTTGGCAAAAAGTAATGTTTATGTGGCAGCTCTTGTGAATGTGGCCAGAAGAACCCTGAACTCACAGCACTGCAGGAAGCTGCAGGAGCCTCTTACCAACTTTTGAGCTGCTGTTTGAAAACTCTCTTTTTATATGGCTTGCTCTTTTGAACTTAAAGTTAGAACTAGTCTAATTCTGTAAGTTTCTACTTGTAGAGGTAGCCCTTTATGCCACTGAAATCAGGGGAAATTAGTTCTGAATCAATAAGTCATTATTTGTGATGGGGAATGACCCCATCTATTTCTAGGCAAGGACCACAGTGACCAGGTGGGGCAGTAGGTGCAGGCCCATCACGTTTCCTTTTCTGGGATTCCCTGTGGTATCCTGAGGAAATCCTGCACATTTTTTCTGCATCTAAATAGAGATTAAACTACCTGTTAGATGAGTTTTATATTTGCCAGTTTCCTGAAGATCTCCTGATGATATGCAATTTACACAGCTGTGGTTTTGCCATCTGTGACTTGCAGATTTGTTGGGGGTTTTATCCAAACATGACCCTGTTCATAATTTCCAGACTTTGTACACAAAGTAGTTCCATAGAAGTGTCTGGTTTGGCAGGGGAGTGATTTATTTTCAAGTACAGCATCCCAGTAAAAGATGGGTTACAAAGGGCTTCCTCAGTAAAGGTAATTGCTCATCCATTTCTCCCCATCAGACTCAGGGATAGTTTATTATTTGGGGTGAAACCTGGTCACACCTACATTCATGGCCTTTTGAAGGCTTTTTTTCAGGTTCTTTTTGTAGTTCAAAGTCCTTTTGCAATTCACAAAGAACAATCAGGCAAAGATATGAAGAAGATGACTGGATCCCCTCTCTACGTAGTCAATTATGCAACAAACTGTACATGGCAGAGCCTCCTCCCAGGAAATGGAAGCATTCACCACAGCACAGCCTCGTTACCTATGCAGATTGCAGACCAAGAGCCTGCAAGGATGAACTTTGCCTCCCCATTCCCCTCCTCACAGGGGTGTCTCACCTTGTAATCATTAATGAACTGTGCCTGTAATGGAGGTGTGACTGTACAGCCTGGCTATCGCCCAGAGCTGCTTCGGGAAACCAGGAGCTGCTGAAAATGTCCAGCAGGTATCACAAAGCAGCAGCTGATGGCAATGTGGACCTGCTGAAAGAGGCCACCAGGAAAGACCTCAACGCTTCTGATGAAGATGGGATGACCCCCACCCTTCTGGCAGCCTACCACGGGTACCTGGAAGCTCTGGAAGTCATTTGCAGGAGGGGGTAAGTCACCCAGCCCCACTGCTCAACCTGGGACTCAAAACTGCAACTACAGCGTCGTGTTTCTAATGCCCCCGTGACCCCAGGCCCCAAAGGCTGAAAATCACAGTAATTTCTTTCAATGCATTGCCCAGAATTGGTTCTTTAGTGGCAGTGGTTTAGGTCCAGAGCCTGCAGGAAGGTCTCTTTATTATTTTCTCAGGCAGGAGTTGAGGAGCTCTTTGTGTGTTCAGTCAGTGAAAACACATTCATGTCCCCAGGACCACTCCGTGTGTGCAGCCTGCAGAGAGCAGCTCCTAGAGCAGCACCCTGGCACCTTTGCTTCCCTCACTGGAGAAGGTTGCCAACAACCTTCGAGGATATCTTGAGACAGGATTTATAGAGAAATCCCTAATTTGAAACAGTTTCAGCAAAAAATATCTCCCATTCGCTTCCAAAGTGCTTTAGTAGGCACTTGTGAAGATTTAATGCTGTCCAGAGGTGAGTCACAACAGATAGCTCAGAGCTAATAACATCTCAAATGGTTATTTCTCTGCTTTTTTAACAACTACCATCACGCAAAAACCAAGAATACTGTTTCAGAAGCTATGATAGGACCCTTGTAAACCGTTAAAAAAAAAAAGGAAAAAAGGGAAAAAATGAAAGGAAGGTTTTCTACGGGTTTATTTTCTAGTAATAAAATGTCTGTATCATTTAAATGTCTTACATGATTAAAATGTCTTATTGAAATGGTAATTACCTCTCCACCATCAGTACTCTCTTGCCCAGAGCCTACCTTTTAATCTGTTATTCTGTAATAACATCTAATAAAAGAAAATTGTGTAGAGATACACTTAATAAAATGTTCTTTTGCAGAACAGTGAACAGATTGCAAGGAACAGCTAAATAACTATTTGGATATCTGAGTATCTGAGTTTTATTTAAAAAGGAGTTGGGAAAATGTTTTAAAAATGGTTTTAAATAGATATGCTTTATAGCTCCTTGGGCTCAGGTGTGGCTGTGGTATCACAATGAAAAAGACCTTTGGACTGTGTGCTTGTTGCTGTGTCCTCGGGAGAAGCAAAAATAGATTGACAATTTTTCAACTTGTACAATTAAGGCAGCTCCAAGAAAATATCTGTCAATAAGGTTTGTCCCTGAACACCTGCAAGCTAGAACAAGTAGATAAGGAACAAATAGCAAAATAATTTTCTCCTAGAACATAAGCTGACAGAAATCACAGCAGATGACACAAAGATCAAAATTTCTGTATATTTGTTATTTCATGTATTTCTAAGTCTTTTCCTTGGTAGAGGACAGCTTTGGAACAGTATCACCTCAAAATCCTCATACATATGTGTTTACCTCTATTTTAATCTAAGATTTCTTGACACAATCAGCAAGATGTGTCTGTCAGAGGTATGGCTGCATTCTTACAGGTTTTTTGGGGAGAAGCTGAATTTAAGAAGATGCTTAAGCTGTTCTTCAGTCAGTTAATGTTTCCTTGTGGGAAAGGATTTTAATTATTTTTAACAAAATTGTCCTTTCCTTGAAGAGGTTTCCTGACAGAGGCTCTGATGTACAGGGCAATTTTCTTTAGAGTGGTTGCAGATTTTAGGACTCTCAAGGTTAGCCCTTGGAAAGTTAGCAATACTAACAATAAACCCCTTTCATCTTGAAATAATTTGGAGACAGGAGACATTTTTTTCTGCTTGCCTCGCAGGTACACGAATAAAGGCAAGACCAAATAGCAGAATCTGCTCTCTTTTCTGTGAACCTTTTCCCTGGGGAAGCAGGGAAAGGAGGAGCATGAGAATCCAGAGTAGATGTCAAACCTTTTCCAAAGTCCCACTGAGCTGGGAACAGCCACTCGAGGTTGTCAATTGTTTGAGACTCAAAGGCTGGCAGGTTCCACGGGGAGGAGAGACCACAAAAGCTCAGAAGGGAGCAGGGAAGGACGGATGAGCAGGCACTCCCCAGGCTCAGGGCACTGCAGCCAGCTCACTAATGTGGGAATTCAGGAACCCAGCACGCTCAGCCACGGCCAGGCAGCTCCCCAGGGCACAGCCACCAGAGCAGAAATATGTGCACATGGTTCCCATATGGCTGAGTGAGAAACTTTGATCCTCAGCTGCCACCTCCTTGCAGCAAAGCCTGAGCTCTGCCCGACCCCTGAGCTCACTCCTGCCTGGGGCAGCTCAGGCTGAAGGATGTGTTCAGATCTGGCCCTCAACAAACCTGGGAGTGCTTTTCTTCAGAGTCCCAAAGCCAGAGATCAGTGCCTGAAGGACATTTTGTGGCAGGATGTACCATGTCTTTCACAGTACAGCTACTGTGTCATTGAAATGCTTGAACTCCCAAGAGTAGAAATTCTCCTTGTAAATTTGGTCCCTGGCTCTGAAGTCAATAAAGACTTTGGGCTTCTGTGGCTGCCTTGTTGGTTGGTCACAAGAGGACACAGGGTCTGTTCTGAACATTGCTAAGGTTGACCTTGCCAAACGTGTATCTAAATATTCAAGCAGTTCAGTGTGAAGTCAGCACAAGAATTAAAAATCAAGCAATACTTTTCATTGGCTTTAAATTCAATTGAAAAATGTGGCATTTTATTTTCAAATGAACTTCTGCTTTTCAAACCATCATGAGTAAAAGCAGCTTACAGAGAACAAAAGAGTTGAAAAACAATGGCATCTATCTGGGCTTAAACTAATAGCAATGGAGACAAATGGGTAATCAGGGCTTTACTCCAGATCATTTACTTATTACCTACCTAAAAAGTTACTGCAGTAGCTCATTAAATGTGTATCACTGTGGCCAGTGAGCAAACCTTCTAACATTGCCCTGTATTTGACATGCAGAAGGAGCGAATCACCAAGAGCGCTTTAAAATACTCCATGCAAATGTTCTTGAAACAGTTTGGCCAGTAATTCCAATGAGACCAAGTCAAAGCCTGAGCCCACTTTTAGTTGCCAAACCCTGGGATGACAAAGGAAATGCTCCCTTATGGGGAGATGCAGACACAGTCAGCCCTGTGAACTCGTGTAACTCACAGGCAGGAACTGGAGCTCATGCCACACACGCAGCCACGCTCAGGGCTTGTGTAAGTGGGTGCAGCCCTGCTCTAGTGGCTGGAGCCAAGCTGAGCCATTGTCCCTGGGCTGTTCTCCTCTGAGCAGAGCAGAGTAACACGTTGAGTGTGTGTTCAGTGCCACTGCAGAGCTCAGTGTGGGTAGCCCAGCTAACTGTGTGCTGTTTTCCCTGCCAGGGGGGATCCAGACAAGTGTGACATCTGGGGGAACACGCCCCTGCACCACGCTGCCTGCAATGGCCACATCCACTGTGTCTCTTTTTTGGTCAACTTTGGGGCCAACATCTTTGCTCTGGACAACGACCTGCGCACTCCCCTGGAGGCAGCAGCCAGCAGGGACCGCAAGGAGTGTGTCCAGATCCTGGACAAAGCTGCCACCGAGCAGAACCTGCTGAACCCTAAGAAGGTCTCCAAGCAAAAGGCACAGGCCCAGAGGAACGTTGAGAGACAAATCAAGGAATGTGAGAAGCGCCAAGAGAAACACCAGCACGAAATGAACCGGAATTATATCAAAGAAAAGGTTGGCACAGTGAATTCTTCCAGAGGAACGCACTCCAGGGTAAAGCTGCCCAGCCTATTTGCTTCAAATACCACAAGTACTTTAACCAAAAACCTGAAAGATACCATGAAACTCAAGACAAAAAAGACAGCCAACAGCACAAAAAGGCAGGAAACACAAAGAAATGCCCAAGATGATGATATGGGTAGGAGAAATGTGATGCATTTGTTTGATGAGAAAGAGGAGGATGAATTACTGAATGACCTCGAAGAGAAAAACCTTGCTGGTAATGACAGTCAGCTCTCCATTTTTCAGAGGCCAGGTCTTGGCAAAATTGTGTTTGGAAGGAATTTGGCTGCAGAGGTAAATCCTGAAGCTGTGTCTTCTGAGAAAGAAGGTATAAGAGTTACAATGGCCAGTGAGCTCTTTCAGTATGAAAATGCTGAGAATGGCAGGGAAGATGATGCTGAAAACAGTGCTGATGTCCCTTGGAATGAGGAAGAAGTCATTTGGGATGATGAGGAAACAGAGAATACGCCCCTTGAGGTATTTCTGGCATCACAGATGCTGGATGAGTTTCTTCCAGTCTTCATGAGGGAAAAAATTGATTTAGATGCCCTGATGCTATGTTCTGATGAAGATCTACAGAGCATTCAGATGGAGCTTGGGCCAAGAAAGAAAGTCCTGAATGCTGTGAATAAAAGAAAACAGGCACTCCAGAACCCTGGAAAAACTGTAGATACTTGCTTATAAATTATCATACCTGTTGTTGTAACCTACACACTGATTGATTACTTTTCCCTCTCTCCAAAGAGTGGGCAACTCTTCTGAGAATTCTGCTAAAGCAAAAGGCAGGTTACCAACTGCTTTAGAAGTACAGCAGAGATAGTTTTTCTCTCTGGGTAGGTAGTTGTGGTGAACAGGATACTAAGTAAAGTATATTCTGCCAAAAAGCAAGACTGTGAAGCTAAAAACCCAAAAGCTTTTCCTCCCTGAACTGTTTATATGGATTGGATTTCTTTTGGTCCAGATAATTTCAAATAACGTGAAGGCCAGGCCACTGCATTCCTTAACAAAGGCCTTCCTTTCTTCTCCAAAACCACAATGCAAAGAGCATTCTCAGAACTTGAGAGCTCCATTTGCTTCTGTAAGATGAGTAAAACCACTCTTCCTGGTACTGATAGTACGTTAGAAAAGGAATCTGAATCTTGATTTTTAGCTATGGTTTATTGACTCTAATCACCTCTGAATTAATGTAAATAAGAATACTTTACAGCAAATGTCATATTTTTGTCATTAAGGTTTTTACTTCTGTATTGACAATTTAAAAATACATGAAGTATCTTCTCAAGAAATGCTCAGTGTGAGTTGTATATTCCTTTATTGTCTCGTTAGACTGGATCCAGTTGCCAGCACCCATCATGTCCTAAATGTCATCAAAGCTGCAATACTTTTAACTACAAGAAGCCGAGTTTTAATTTTCAGAATTCTGGATCAATCTTGGTATAGCCCCAGCGTGGTTCCTGTAGGCTTCATTTTCCATGCAGAGTCCCAGAAATGAGGACACATATCACACACCATTTTCTGTGGGTTGTTGTCAGCCTTAGACTGAGAGCTGTGTATCACTCACACAGCTCATGAAAATAAAAAAAGAAAATGAGCTGTGCTGCTGTGGAAGCTCCTGCTCTTCACAGTTTATCTGGAGGCATTCACAGCAGGGTTCCCCTGTTCCCTTGGGAAGCCAGCACTATATAGATATAAATTAATCACTCCTGTTGAGTTTTGTGAATCTAATAATCTAATCTTGTAGTGCCATGCTCTAGATAAAATCACAGATTTTAGATGCACATTCATTAGCAGAACATTTATCTTTAAAGCTCTTTTTATGGCTTTCCATTACCCAGCTATGATTTTTTCCTTAGGGATATGCTGCATTTGTGGACACTAATCCTGGTTAATGATCTGACTTTTCATATTTCTTCTTTCCATATCATCTCATGACTGTGATTTGTATATTATAGTATCTTTTCTTGGGTGGACTTTATACTGCATTCTTCCCTGCTTGGATTCCTGTACACAGCAGGTTGATATGTTCTTATATTAAGCAATCACATCAAAGTCCTGTTCTGTGCAGCCTCCCATGATTGCTGTGCTGAGCACAGTAATCCAGACACCTTCCCCCACTGTCTGGCTGTTTTCATTTTGGCTAAGGAACTCCCATGCAAAGCAAGAAGGAACCAATTAATCTTTCATGTTTGAAGGCATATGATAGGTGGATTTTCAATCCCCCTCCCCAATGCTGGAGATGCAGATGCTTCCCACTCCTGCTGAGGCCAGCCAGCCTCATCCTCCTCTGCATCCTCCAGTCCCTGCAGCAGCCGAATTCCACACCCCCAGCACACAGGGCTGACACAAGGTCTGTGCTGCTCCAGTGGCTTCTCTCTGCTGCAAAGAGCTGACCACGATGCACCTTTTTCAGGCCAGATTTTAAATAAGTGGGTTGGATTCAGCTGTCCAGGAAATGCTTCCAAAAACTCATAAGCGTGCAAATGCCTGTCACTGATGGGAGGGAAATGTAGGTAGAGGAGAAGGCACTGCAGGGAGAATCAGGAACCTGAAAATCTGCCTCTGTGCTTACTCATCTGCAGCCTCTGACAGCCCGAGAACAGCAGAGACCATCTGCACATAGCTCAGCTGTCACAGGCATCCTCAGTGTTCAGGCACCTCCTCAGGTATTAGGAGTGACTGGGGAGCTAAAAGAAACAGCACCAGACCTGCAGGAGTCCCTTTTACTCCAGAAACTGCATCAAAAAAATAAGAAGCCCCAGAACACCCCATATGACACTTACTTTTAGGCAACTGAATCAATTCTTAATTTTTATTCTTTTTAATTAAAAAAAAAAGTGCAATAGTGCTAACCCTTTTCTTATGGGATAGTATAAAGCAGCCCTGTTAAAAAAATTGGGGGGAAATTAATAGAAAGGAAGACTCATAGTTCAGCTTTTTTCCACTCCTGTGCTTTGCTGTTTTCATTTTTTTTTTTTACCAACCTCTTTGTTTCCTTTGGAGTTTGGAAGCACTGGAATCCCAGCTGTGACTCCTTAGGAACATTTGTATAGCTCAGTCCAGTTCACATGTGCAATCCTACAGCAGAATCCAAACCCAAATCATAAAACCAGGCAATCTCACAGGAGCACAGCCCTGCCAAGTACAAGGTTCTCCTTCCTTAAGGATTTAATACTCTGCACTGGACAGACATTAAGTAAATGTGCAGCATGGGACAACTGCAAAAATGAGTATCACAGAGAAACAGGGCACTCCCTATTTCTTCCATTTACGTTCAGTGAGCACATTTACTGAGAGAGCAGTCACTGCAACAACTTGAATACTTTCTTATCTTCAAATAAATCAACCACAAACCAGAAAAGACATGGACAACAAAATGAAAGTCAAAGAAAAGCAGTAGTATCTATTTGATTTTAATATAAATGCAAGTTACACAATTTCATAATCCACTAATTTGTAAGAGAAGGAAATATAGAAATTGATGCTATTATTTCCCCTCAAAAAATCTAAAGCTGGCATCCAAACAATTCCCATCACAACTAAACCAAATTATCTTCATGACATCAGAGGTACAACACTGAAGCCAGGCTCCCAAAATCTCCCACTGCCAATGAAGCTGAGAACAATGTGGGTTTTCAGAACCAGGTCTTTGGACTGGCTCCATTTATTTTTTAAAGTGCATATCCTGTAGAGGAGTAGATGTGAAAATAAACTGGACTTGTCATCTTTCCAAACACTACATCTTACTTCAAATTACAAATCTGGTATATCACTGGCACAGAACTGGGATAATACTGTCATAATTACTAATTGCAAGTTCCCATGGAGTTCTTGAATATTGAGAGCATTGTTTGCTTTCATGTTTTCCTCAGGTTAGTGTAGTTCTGCATGACTGAAGTAACAAACTAAGTCAGCACAAATTTCTGAACACTTCAGAAACGACAGAGAAGAAACAAGACATGTAAAAACAGAAGAGTAGTTTTGCTACAACTAAATGCAAAAGCTAATAGAAAAATTTCTGGTTTTCTTTCTGATGGAATAAACAGGATCAGTGGAGTTCAGTTTGGATCCACATGAAACATCCTTCAACCCCCTTAGTGGTCTGGTATCTTTCTGTGTTACCTCCTCCAGTTAGTACATTTTCCAACTAGCTTACATCAGGCTTATAACTGGGAGTATTATTTACATCACACCTGCACTGTACTCATTAACCTCTTCTACACTTACCTATGCACCCTCCAGGCCTTTCATGCCAGCTGCTCCTGACCCTCCTCTTCCTGTTGCTCTGCTCTATTCTACTGGCATGTTATAAAATACCCTGTCATCCAACTCTTCCACAGCATGAAGAAACACTTAATAGTCTGCATGAAATAATAAGCGAATGAAATAAAATTTCACAAGGCACAATTTGTGAGCCTGAGACAGGAATTTGTTTCCAGGGCAATAGCTGTTTTTCAGCAGATGCTCACTCTTTTGCAAGGCAGTTGCATAACAGCACAAAACTGGAACTTTTCCTTATGTCACTGGGTTGCTCTGCTAGGAAAGAATCATGAAAATTCCTGTCCCAGCTAATATCTGTGATAATAGAACAATTAGCAATTGAAGCATGGTACAGCCAAACTGAAAATATTTGCCTGTATACTTGAAATCAGTTTGTGTTGTTTCAGCCTTCAAGAAGTTTAGAAAAACTACTTAGAGGCACCACAGATCAATAGCAAAATCTTCCTACAGCATACAGATAAAAGTTAACTCAAAACACATACTAGTTCTCCCATTCTGTGCAACTCCTTGCAATATGAAAATGGCAATATCCCAGCAAGGCATGTGCTAAGGAGGTACTGAGCAGAAACCTAACTGTAAGGAGGTATGGTTATTTACATAAACCCCCTGTAAGAACTGTGCACTTAAAGAGAAAAAACACTGAGTTTGAGGGCAAAGGAAGGTGGAATGCAAGGGGTGAAAAAAATGGTGACTTCTAGTGTGAGCTGGAAGGGAAGGTGTGTCCAGGACTTAGAGGTGGGCTGTGTACCCAGGAGGCTGAAGATAAGGTCACTGTCACTGGAGCACTGAAACACACAGTTGCATTTAAAGTACCATCACAGGTAAATATGATGCCAGAGTCCATTCTACAAACTGATGTATTTTACACTAGAACGAATTATCCCTCTAGAAACCATAAAATCTACACACAGGTTTCTGCTACATAAATAATTAGGGAGGAAAGGCATTGATTCCAGAATTACACCAAAATATGTAAAGATACCCTTGCTAGCATCATTGCAAACAGCTAATATTTGCTGTTACAAAAGAGAGACATTTATTAGCAATACTGCAAGTATCTAATACTTGAAATTAGAAGACTTTAGAAATTAGTCTATTGCTGAAATTTTACTTTTCCTTCTTGAATGCTCTAGAAGGGCCACATTCAGATAGGATTGGTGCCTTTCTTGTTAACACAGGATTCAAGGAAACTAAGTGCAAACAATTTTCTTGGCCTCATTGGCATTGCAGACTTCTCTCTTTAGTTACCAGCTGACCACGCATCATAAACAAATTTTGCTGCTACTGTGTCTTCAACTGCCATCCCTGAAAAAGAATTGAAGTTACCTTCCAGCAGTCATTCAACTGTACAAATAATTTTGCTTCAGAAGGGAACAGGAAGACTCAGGACATTATCTAACTGGACAGGAACAGGAGTTATTTCCCATCCCAAACACCTACAGTGTTACATTCAAAGTCCATAGCCATCATGCGGTGTTGGGTGTGCTGTAAGAAGTTAATGTAACAGTAGGAATCTAATTCTTAGTGTTCATATCACAACTGGGCCCTTCTGGAGATGTCATGTAGCTCAGAGCATGGTAATTCATCCCCAGTGCCACCCTTCCCCAAACCCCAGCCCCACAGGACACTGTCACATTGTCTCAGGTCAGACAGACCCCACGGGTGGAACAGCGGGGCAGTCGGGCTGGAGCTCTATTAATAAATGCTGCAGTCATGTCTTGAACAACTGTGAAATGGAAAATGGACTTCTATTGTTTGCCTGCTTTCCTATCACTTTTCATTACATCAATCCTGCTAGATAAATAAGAAGGGAAATTAAAAGGGAAAATGCAAATCACAGTCTACTTTCTTGTGGACAGTGCATTGCCACAGCGGTTCTGAAGATGATCAGCAGCTTTCCCACGCATGGGGGACCTAATAAAGAACAAGGCATTGTTTTCTGTCAGACTTGGACACAGGAGGGGCTGTTCTTACCCAACGATTTAAACACTGTTGTTTTCTCAGGCAG